GGACGTGACAAAAATCAGGTGATTTTTTAGGGGGAGGGGGGTAAAAAATTTAAAATTATATATAAAGACCTGATCAAGTTATATAGTAAAAGAGAGAAGGGGGTAAGCCTCTGATAAAAAAAAATCAGGTGATAAATGACACTGCCCTAAAAAAATTTTTTTTATAAAATTTGTAATTGATTTTGATTGGTCGATTACGAGCGATAGATCACGTGATCATTTCTGATTAGTCGATTATGGGGGATACCCGAGTGTTCTAATTTCATCTACCACTTCTAATTAGCTATACTAATTATTCATTTATCAGAGCCAATCCAATTTCATGATTAGGTATAACATAAAAGAAATACAAAAAAAAATGCAAAGATTAAAAATCACCCATAACTCTAAATTCAATATATAACACTGTCTTCTATATACTAATAAAAAATTTTTCTTATAAAATTTTGGTATAAGAAATGTTTTATAATTATAATATAATACCAAAATATTAATTCTAGTCTAACAGCGTGAATTTTTATTTAAAAATTTTTTACTAATATAAATACTCCAATAATTGAATAATTAGTATAGCCAATCAGAAGTGGTGGAGAAAATTAGTAAATCCAGAGATGTCTATAGGAAGACTTTTGTATAATTGACTATTTAAATCAATTTAATTTTATATTATTTATGTAGTTTAAAGTACTTTTTAAAAAAAATAAAACTACAAAAAATAAACAAAAAAGAAAAATATAAAAAGTTTTATTGGGTTATAGAACTACAATATTAAAAATAATCAAAATTGTTTCTGGTTTTAAAGAAATTAGCATAATAGCAACTTCTTAAAATTAGATAGAATTAGGTTATTATTATGCTAACTTCTCTAAAACCAGAAATAATTTTGATTATTTTTAATACTGAAATCCTACAACCCCAATAAAATTTTCTATATACTTTTTTTTATTTATTCTTCATAGTTTTATTTTTTTTTCAAAAGTACTTTAAACTATATAAATAATATAAAATTAAATTGATTTAAATAGCCAATTATATGAAAGTTTTCCTATAGTAACTATGCAGATACATAGAAATTTTAAACCTTTAATTTTTTTTTTATGTTTATTGTTTAAAACCAAATAATAGACTTATATTTTTATACACTTTGATAATTGAAATCACATTTTTAATATATTTATAGTAGAACTATTAAAAATATACTTTTGGTATTTTCTGAATATAAACATAACAAAACTTTTTAAAAGTTAAAATATTAAATTAAGCTTCAGACTTATACCGGTTTCTGGTTTCTAGTATACAAATATTTTTAGTATATAGTTATAGATATAGATTTAGAAAATAGATAAATATGTATAAAATAAATAAATACAATATTTATTGTAAATTTATTAAAAATTTATATAATTAATAATATATAAACCAAACTTTTAAATTTATAGTTAATAAACCTAACTAATATATTACAAAAAGCTAACTAAATCTAAATATTAAATTCAAATTTCTTGTTACTAAAAAGCTTAACAATAAAATATATTTAAATCTAATATAACAAAATAGCTTAAGAAAAACTATTTTGGATCTTCTTTAATATAGGTAAGTATATACAAATTATTACAAAATTATAATATATAAAACTTAATTAATTTGAGCAATTTAAATTCTAACTTTAACCCTAACTCTAATAATTTATAAAATTACTTAATAGGCAAATCACGAATCGCCTAAACAAATATTTTTTTTTATATATAAATTTTACTATAAGCCCAAATGTGCAGTACTTCTATATAAAACTTTTTTTTATTAAGTAAATCTCTCTTGAGCTTATAACAAAAGTTGTAAAGCTCATCAAGATGCATCTAATGGTAGTAAGAACATTAAAATTAGCTTGGTGGTTCTTGAGAAATCTTTAAAACTTCTTTCTTATATATAAAATTTCTTATTTTTTTTAAAGAAATTTTATATGTGAGAAAGAAGTTTTTTAAAGATTTCTCAAGAACAACCAAGCTGATTTTAACGTTCTTACTACCATTAAATACATCTTGATGAGCTTTACAACTTTTGTTATAAGCCCAAGAGAGATTTACTTAGTAAAAAAAAAAGTTTTAAATAGAAGCGCTGCATATTCAGGCTTATAGTAAAATTTACATATAAAAAAAAAAATATTTGTTTAGGTGACTCATGATTTGCCTATTAAATGAGTTCAAAATAGTTAATTTATATATATTATAATTGTATAATATAGTCTTCTCTCTTTATAATTGTTTCTATATAATCACTTCATATAAAAAACTTTTTATAATCACACCTCTATTGAGCCCAATTACTATTTAATATATATATAAAAACCTCTATATAAGCACATCTCTTTATAAATATATTTTTTTAAAAAAATTACTATGGTCTCAACTGTGTAATTATAAAGAAAAAAGTTTATAATTATATATGCCCATCTATACTAAAGATCAACTACAGTGAAACCTCTCTAAATATACTCTCTACAAATATATACTCTCTTTAAATACATGCTCAAGTGCTAACCCAAATATATATACGATCTCTATAAATACACTCTTTCTTATTATTCTCTATATGCATATTATTAAAGTATGGTCCAAAGAGCATGTACTTAGAGAGATCTGACTGTATTATATTTCTAGTAACTTTACTTTAATATATAACTTTGTATAATTTATATATTTATTTTCTAAGCAAAGTTTCTTAGTTTTAAAATTATGCTAAATTATTTTTATATAATAAATATTGAATAAGATATTAATAAAAAAAATAATATGAATAACTATAAGAGTTACTAAGTTTTTAGTTTGAATTGACTAAAATAATTAGTAAAAAATTTAATACTCAAAAAATCTGTACCAGGTTTTGTTGATTATTGTAATATAGTAAAAATTTTTAAAATTCATTAATGTTAAAGTTAATACTTAGAATAAAGTTAAGAATTAGAGTGTTATATATAGTTGCTATTACAAAAAACAATCAACTTTTAACTATAAAATTTTTAAACTTTATAATTTTTTTAAAATAAAATAAACCAAAAAAAAGTTTTTATAAAGGATGTGGTGACTTAGTGAAATAGTTAAGTTGTTGCATCCCCAAGTGACATGTTGGCTAGATAGAGGTTCAAACCCCACTAATGACAAATTTCAAAAATTCTATCTATACAACAGCTACTGTTGTTCTATTGATTGGTTAAAAAATTTTTGTAACCTTGGTGGCACCAACAAGATTGAGAGATTATAGGATATTTGTGTAATATATAAGTTATACAAATAAGCTTCCAGATCATAGTAAACTTAGAGAACTGGGAAGAACAATGGATGCTCACTTGGCAAGACCTGAGTAGAGAAGTAGTACAGATCTTTGATGGTACTACCTAAGGATCATCATTGGGAGAACTGGCAAAACTGAATGGGACCGAAGTGTTTAGCAAGACACTCTACCAACCAGGCTGCCAGAAGAGTAACCGGAAGAAAAGGACCCAACTGTGAGGACCAGAAACAGGTCATAGCCCTTCTGGACCATCTGGATTGGTAGTTTGGAATTGTTAAGATTAAAACTGGTAATAGTCTGTAAAGTATGTACTAGGGTTTGTATGAATTTTACAAGGGCAAAAGTAGATAATGGTAATGATCTTAGCTTGCAAGTACTTGTCCTTGGACTCGGCATAAGTTACCGAAGTCTAGGTTAGCCAGATTGTGGGTACAGAAAGCTCTAGCAAGTTTACCTCAAGGATAAAATTAACTCTAGGTTGGTATGCTTTCTATGGCATGATTGGTTACCTCATAAGGATATGATAATGCAGAGTGTTTAAATAAATAATCCTCTAGTTAGATTATAGATATAACATCTAGTATAAAACTTTTAGACAGACTACTTAAATAGATAATCAAAAAAAGTTGTATGTGTGACTAGTTGTATTCTCCAAAATCATGTATCAAATAAGTAGTGGCTGACTATGATCAGCTTAGCACATATAATCAATAAAGCTATCAACCAAGAGGTTACTTTAATATTAAAAAAAAAATGTTTTTATAAATTTAATAGCTTTTTTATAGTATTAAACCATCAAATCTACAAATAAAATTTTTAGTATCTTTAATTGGATTATGATCCAGAATATCACAAAATACACATGATAAATTCGAATTATTAAAAAGAATTTTTGTATGATTTCATATAACATATAAGGCAGCCAATCATGATCAACCTGATAATCTGGATCAACAACCAATTAAAACAAACATCTATCATGCTCCATAACTCAAAATTTCATTTACAGAACCACTTTTTGCATCTTAGCAAAAAAAAAACACCTTGCAAAATTTTGCTATATACTCTGCCCTTTCTACATTCCTTGCAGAATTTTGGTATAATGCCGTCTACTAACCCTAACTGAGATGGCACATTTTAACAAAAAGTGATATGTAAATTGGTACGAATAATCCCAGCCAATAGGATGTTGGGGTAAATTAGTAAATCCCTAATGAAATTTTAGCGTATATCATCACGAGACCGCGAATTTTTATGCATAATTATTCATTTATGTTTAGATCCGTGTATGGTCACATTAATTTTACCACTGAAATGTTGAGGCTTGATTATTTTGCAAAGAAATCTACTTGGAATTGACTAGACTTTTTAGAATGGAGTGCAGTCAATTTCAAAAACAATTTTGGAAGTAAAGATGAAGAACATCTTACTTATAAAATAAATCTGGAAACCATTAAGAATAAACCAGAGATATTGTTATTTCGTGACAGTTTTACGGTTAGAAAGTTAGCAACAGAAGCGTTAGAAAATTTTAAGGTTAAGAAACTTTATTTTAATATTTTTGTTATGTGCTATCATGAAGGGTGTGTCGATCAAAGTGCTAGGATGCGTTTGAAAGCCCAACGGATGAGTCTTGAGGGTTGCACCTGTGAGACAATAGCCCTTCGTGATTTTTTTTTTATTATTAATTTTGCCAGAAGTGCTAGGATGCGTCTTGCGGGTTGCACTTTATTGATACGTATTTGGACGCGTCTAAACAGTATCAGGCATTTTATATTTTATTTTATTCTTATTTATACAGGAAGAAGTTAAATCGGTTGAAGTCAAAACTTTCTGGAAAAATTATCCTACATTTATGAATTCACTGACAAAGGTGATAAATTTAACTTCTACAAGAATGGTGTCTCAGGTTTCAGAGCTTCATGATGATTTAAGCAATACGATTTATACAGAAATGCGAAATCAAATATCTTCATGTAATTATCTTTTACTTTTTATATTACTTTGTATATCTGTATTCAATTGATTTTCTCTAAATGTAAATAATAAAAGTTTCAAAAAGGAAAAAAACCGATTCGTTGCAAAATAATGGGAAGAAACTCTATCTTGACCAAACAGAAAATAGCCGTATTATGAAAGAAATGGTGATTATAAAATTAATAGTTATCATTTTTGATTTTGATGATTCTCGAGAAAACAGAAAAATCTTACTTTACGATCTAGAGAAATACGCTTAAGGAAAATAACAATATCGAGGATAATTCGCCAGATAGAAAGAAACTATTATCTATTAAAGTTAGTTATCTTATTTTGTTTTTAATAATATATATTACGCAGGTTGAAACTGATAAAGAAAAAATTAGCATTGAAAAAAAGATCTTTCGTGAACTATTAAGTCGACATATTTATCTGCTTTGTAAACCATTCTGAGAACTTTGCAAGGAAGAAGCAGAAGAATTATTTAATGAAATAGATAGCAATACAACCGTTGAATTGGACCTTTCTACAAATATAACAGAATATCTCCAAAATCTACTCAGCGGTGATATTAAAAGTACATTGTCTAAGATAGAAAAACCTCCTAATGATGAAAGTCAATTATTATTATGGGTTAGAGAAGTTTGCCGTCACTTTCTTCTATACTATTATTATGGTGGCTTACAAGTTGATGGTGGTGGTCAACGCAGACGGTTTATCGCATATTGGATTTATTTTCAACTTTTTTCGAGAAAACTATATCAGGTATTGCATTGTAAGTATTCTTTTTCTTTTATTCTTTTTATGACAGATTTATTTTAATTTGATATTAATAATATTTTTGGTATAGTGGCGAGATCATGAATGAAGCTCATAACGATAGAGCATATAACATTAACTATAGTCAAAAACTGTCAAATTCCGGGTGTGTAAGCAAAAATGATGCCGTCTTATACCAAGATAAAATCGCTACTATATTGTATGAACAATCGTTTGGTCCTACGGAATTCACTCTAAACTACCAATTAAAAGATTTTGCTAAGCTAGCGCATAACGGAGTTGATGATTTGAACTTTCATTTTAATCAAAATAGGAATTGTACAACTAATACGGCTAAAAAATTTAAGTCTATAGAGATTCATGGTTATAGTAGGTTTTTTCTCAGTCTTCTTTTTTTTTTTGTATAAATAATATAATACTGATCTTTTTTTTTTTTAGAGTATTTCTTATCTGTATATCTTACAGACATTATTCGGATTAGTTCTCGAGGTATGTACTTTATTTTGAATAATGGCTAAAATTTGGGCGTATTTTGAAACCATACCTCTGGGCGTTATGTCGCGAGAATGCGATTAAACTATTTAACTTCTGTTATAGAAATTACTAATTGAACGACAAAATATCAAGGAAAAAATGTCAAAAGAAAGTATTCTAAATAATCTTGAAACAGATTATGTATATAGCTGGATAAAAATACCAGATAATACACCTAAGAGTAAAAATAAAAATAAACATGATAACTAGCAGCCATCGCTATATCATTACTATATGCACCCGTGCAGTTTCACGTCAAATATCACTGCATAATGATGCAAATTTGACAGGGTATAGGACAGAGACATGTATAAATTGTTTTAAAAATTTAAAATATTAATTTTTGAAAATCGTGATTTATTTGGATTTAAACCCGCGTTAAGAAATTAAGCAGTAATTCAGGCCATATCACATTGGGGTGCTACGTCAACTAAGTAAATCAAAACTATATATAGTATCATATAAAAACTTGTTATAAAATTTTTTGTGTAACAATTTGATTGCCATGTCAAATATTCCGACAAGCGAAATCCCGACAGGTCATAATCCTGACAAAAAAATCCTGACAGCCAAAAAACTACCATACAGCGTGAACTAAAAGACCCCTAGTATAACATTACGGTGTATTTGCGAAATTAATCGGGCAAATCCAAGTATTTGGTACCCAAAATTAAATTGTAGTTACCAGATTATATATTAATCAATCAATGTTAAACCCTGAAAAATTTTTTTGAACCCCTGATTTGTACTGATAACGCGTCTAACCCATCTTTCCCACGGGCTAACCCATTTTCCCACACTCATTAGACATAGGAATTTATTAAATGACGCATGATGACTTGGGAATGTTGATTATTTCAGTTAAAATCTATATTTCTTATTAGTAGTCAAATTTTCCAAATTTTGAGATATTTCACAAATGCGCCATAATGATACCCCTCACAAGTTTTAAAGCCCTAAAGCATATATTAAATCGATAATTATAATTGAAAGTCCAATGACAGGTTTTCTCTTGGCGACACATATATAGTGCAACCCATATTTCCTACGCTAACTATAGCATTTCTCTGACTATAATACCTATATATGTAGATAACTTGTAAAGTACCCTGGGTATTTTAGTCCACGCTGTACGGTAAGTTAAAAATCCTGACAATTAAAAATTCTGATGACAATAAGCTAACTCTAGCCTAATTCTTATCTAAAGTGATCTAACCCTAAAGTTAATTAAATTATAGGGAATTTACATATAAAGGCCCAAAAATGAAAATAATTGCGGATGAGGGCCCAAAATAAAAATTCTTACATATAGCGGTCCAAAATCAAAAATTATTACAAATAAAGACCTGTCCGATCTCCGAGCTATACTAGACGACTAAACCACAAGACTTACATCAAAAAAAAAAAAAAGATAGCCGGATTTTTTGTTGGCTTATATATGACTTCGAAAACTGATTATCTGTTTATCATGCTTAATAATGACAAACACTAGAACTTTGATTTTTATTTTGATCTTTGTTTGACTTTCACTTGGATTTTTACTTTGATTTTTGCTTTGACTTTGACTTTCGCTTTGACTCTCACTTTGACTCTTGCTATGATTTCGCTTTAATTTTTGTTTTGACTTTGACTTTCGCTTGACTCTCTTTTGCTTTGACTTTCGCTTTAACTTTCATTTTGGCTTTCACTATGACTTTCGCTTTGACTTTTTGTTTTGACTTTGACTTTTGATTTTCGTTTTGACTTTCACTTTTATTTTGAGAATTTTTGCCGTGCTGAATCCACAAAAATATAATTTTGATCAATCATTTAAATAAGCTATTTTAAGTTTGTGAATATTTTATACTTTGTTTTACTTTGCTTCTTGTTAATGTAGTAAATACAAAGGATTTAATGTTCAAAAGCATATTATATCTTTTTATTCGTGTTATTTAGTTATGTATAAAGATCTTTTTAATCAATGCGTTAAAATTCGTAAAGTCATAAGTTTGTTGACGAGATTCATAAATAGTACCCTTAATTTTTTAGTGCAAAAAAATTAATTGCATCATAAAGCTATTTTAGTGATATCGTATAATTATTTTATTTGTAATAATTTTTGTTTTTGGGCTGCTATATGTAAGAATTTTTATTTTGGGTCCCCATCCGTAATTAATTTATTTTTTGGGCCTTTATGTGTAAATTCCCCTAAATTATAAGAGGCTACTTCGCTTTAAACATACCCAATATTCGGGATTTTTACTTAAAATTCTAACTGTCGGGATTTTTGATTGTTGAGATTTTGACTATTGGGATTATGACCTGTACTCAGTAAAAGTCTATGCTAGAAGTAGTAATTATGTCTATTCTAAAATTCAAATCTAGGCATCTATAGGTAGGTTATCTAGGTAGTAATATTAATAAAAAGATTGATAATTAGATAAAAAGATTTAAAATTTTTTAATTACTTTTCTATTCTTGTTTCTTTACTAGTTTTTTTTAGGTTTTTTTTTTTTATTTTTTACTAATTTTATTGTTTTTTTTTCAGTTTTTCACCTTTTGGCAGTTTTGCCATTTTGCTATTTTAATTTTTTTTTTTGGCAAAAGTCGGAACTAGTTTGGACTTTTGCCAATAGCAAAACCTCTAGGTTTTGCCTAACAACACTAAGTTCAGTATAGAGTGGGTTCATTATGTATTTATTTTTTTCATACCGAACACAGAGCTAACCAATTAAATTGTATAGGATCACAATGGGTTAGTATATCTTCGGAAATTCTCAGAGCTTCACTAAAATTTTTGCTCCAGTTCGGAATCTTTAGACACCAGTATTATATACAAACAAATAGTTCGTTATATCGAAATATGTGTACATTAAAGATGCTTGACGAAATTCACGTGACCTGACGAAATACTATAGTTTCGTCATTTCGTCAATGACGAAATATAGACGAAACTTATAATTTCGTCAGTCAAAATAATTTCGCCAGGCATCTATAGTGTACATAGTCTTGGGCGGTAAAGAAGAGTTTGAATGCGGTCTATAAAAATTTGCTACATATGTTTGGTATAGGCAGCCTAAATTCTTATAAAAAATTGGTTACTCCAGATCTGATTTGTTATAACCTAAGTTCAGTATAAACAGGGTCAGTATATCCAGAGTCGATTGTAACTGTCAAATTGCAAAAAGAAAACAAAAAAAAAAGAAGCTTTTTCTATTGTTAGATGGCTATAAGTCAGTATATTAAAACCTTCATAAGAAATGTCTAATTGATCAAAGCACCAACGAACTTCAGGATATCTCAAGTGTCATCAAAAGTAGATTCAAGACGTTCTAATTTTCTTTTTGCATTTGCTAATAATGCATTTGATTTGTGATGATTTTTTGTCACTTCTTTTATAACACCTGCAACTTCATCCATACTTGCAGATGTGAATTAAATTCTTGATACTGTATAGGCATCCAATAACACACCAATCAATAAAACTGACTTCATTAAAGTAGTTATTAACTTTTTTATGTAGTTCCATTTTATGGTATCTATAAATAATATAAAGTAATAATTAATTTAATGAAAGTATATAAATATAAATAGCTAAGTGGACTTTGATTTTATAGCAACTGGTTAGCAAATCATGGAATCGGTGGAGAAGACATAAAACATGTCATCAAAGCAGTTATCCAAGATTCATGCTACCCAACAAACAGCCGAAAGGGGTCGTAAGTAACGGTGGTGCACAAACGGGTGTAGATGCTATAAAGTGTCACCAAAGCATTTATCCAAGATTCACAGCCAAAAGGGGTCGCAAAAGTAGCGGTGGTGCACAAACGAGCGTAGGATATTGCTGGAAGTCCACAGTAGAAATTTTATAAATCTATACTTTCCTAATCATGAACTGACGACGATAAGTTTGATTTAAGATCGATATTTAAAAAGTTGCGCGTTTTTTTTTTATTTATAAAAGAAGTTTCATAGAGAACACAAACCAAAAAGAAATCGAATTTTGTGTAAAGATATAAATTTAGGGTTAGGACGTTAACATTAGAGACTATAGCAATAGATTGTCACTCATTATGTGTAAAATTTCGTTTCCGAAATTTTTAATTAATGCATCAAGGTTGATTTTGACACTAGTTTTTGAGTATTTTCGCTTTTCGCACGTGTTCGGAATTCATGTCGGGCTGATCTGGAATAGTCAAAATTTGTACTCTCTGATTGGCTATTTCCTTTTTAAGGGTTGTATTACTCGCGCAAATAAGTGCGTCCTGGTAAACTAAAAAGTTTAATGACCAATCAAATCTCAAGAGTTCGTTTTGTCAAAAATTGCTCATAATTAAAAGTTTTCCCTGTAAAATTTTGCCATAAAAAATGTCTTTAAACGCCAACCTAATGTCAAAATCCTGACCCTAACCTAAAAAAAAAAAAACGAAAATTTAATTGATAGTGGCGATTCTACCCCCTTGTCGGGCAAATCGGACTGCATGCCGATTTTTGTCAAAACAATCTAATTCTGGTCAAATTTGCAGAGCATTTGGCCTGAGAAATGAGTTTTAAAACTTATTTCCGGGCCGATTAATCTACAAATTTGGCCAGAATTAGATTGTTTTGACTAAGACCAACTGCAGTATTGTTGACTATACGTATAAAACGCTTTCATTTTGTGAAACAATAAGATCACCTTTTTGTTAATAAATGTCGGGATGATACTGGAATCAATTTCATATCGGAGGATATGACTGTGCAAATCCGCAGTCTTGATTTGAAATATACTAAATCCACATAACGATAACTTGTACTCTTTTATTATGACTTTAACCCTAAATCGTAACCCAACTCAAAACAAATAAGTTCAAATTTCAGCATCATTCTGACAATAATATGTTAAATAAATATAGAAATTACAAATTTCACTACTATAAATTATTAGATTCAACCAATCAAATCTCATAAAAAAGTATATTTGTATCATTTTATGATAGGAGGAAAGTACCATACCTCCTGAAATTTGTTAATACTGTCTACTATCTAAAATATTCTGATATTCTTTATTTTTGATTAAATAAGTATTAATTTTTTTAAGCTAGATACATTAAAACTATTAAAATAAATATTAATTTTTTTAAACCAAATTGTTAATTGTAGAAAAAAAGAGTTTTTGAAAAATTTGGTCGGCGGGTAATGCAAAATGAAATTTTAACTTTGTGTGGCCTTAATTGCCTGATCTTAAATTACGTAATATTGAATCTATTATGCCGAATCACAAACTTAACTGAATCCGCCAAAAAATCATTCAGCTAATTTTTATCAATGATAATAACAACTATAAAAAGACTTGGATGGTGATTTTTTCAATTGACCCGATTTTCAATTTAACTTCAACTTGGGTGACTAATAGCTCACTCGTTGGGTCAACTACGGTTTCCACCTGGGTGATTTACGGCCCACCCGTCTGGTGACCGGGTGAAGATTTTTTAGACAGCCGAAACTAATGCTATACTGATTATCACATGCTTTGGGACAATTATAAATACTGACGTATGTATTACCGGAATATTGTCCAGAATATGATACCGCTACAATTTTTGCTAGCTGACGATATGTAAGCTAAGCTAAGCTTATAAGTATGATCATTATACTTTTAAGTATGATCTTACGTATAAGTGTGGTCGTCTTTATATTTATAAGTTTGATAAGTCTGATAATTAAATATACGTGTGAGTATAGGATTATAAAATTATACTACGCTACTATTTTTATTTTTCCTATTAAACTTCTTTATGTACCGTATTACTCACCGTATATACGGTATACCATATCATACTAAGTAGTCACGTTAGTACGTCAGCCGTGATGCCCGGGTAGTGACTACCCTGAGAAGTGTCTGCACCCTTAGTAGCTATCCCTTAAGATTCTAATTTAGTATAGCCTAAAATATCACGTAAATACACATGCTTCAAATGTTCTCATTTCTTAGTTTTGTATCACTCGCACAAATCAGTAATTTCAGGGAAGCGATTATCGGAAAATTGTCCGGAAAACTCTCATGATTATGAATTGCCATCTGTCTTGTTATTTTTTTCATGTGTTACGATGTAATCATGTTTATTCAAATTAAATCTCAGTCGATGACTCCCTACCAATCATGATTATAAATTGCCGGATAACACCAATATTGGGCAATTTGTCGAATACGATAATTTGGCTCAACCGGGCAAATGATTGGCTCACGTGCCGCTTCGCGGCACGTGTTCATTTGCCCCGGTTTTGCGTTATTCGACAAATTTTGCCCAATATTGTATATGTATTGGAGAATTGATCTTCGTAAAAAGGAAACAGTTGTGAAGTAAGTGATAGGGATAGAGCGGTTCAGTCCAACCCGCTCTGGTCCTTAGGCCATTCAAAGTTGATTAGTTGGTTAACGTCATCCCCCCTCTCGGTTAACTGTTTTCCCCAAAATTAAACAAGCCAATCACAGCACAGCATAAACTTCATTAATCATGTGATTAAGGTTGACCAATAAGATTTGATCAAATATTCTTGGAAACATCTGGGGCCGTTGCAGTAGAAAGGGCCCAAACTCTCCCAGAAATCAAAATTGAGTTTTTGTAAGATTCGAATAAATTTTGAGATGGGCTACATTTTTTGATTATAAATGGAAATTGATTTGCTTAATAAAAAATTGAAATATATATAAAAAAATTTTAGAAAATTCATATATCACGAAATGATCTGATATAGCTAACCAATCAAATCACAGAATTTTTGATTGATCCAGATCAGTCTAAACAAAACAAACACGATTTTCTCAAAATTATATATTTTTGAGTTTTGACCCTTTCTACTGCAATGGCCCCATATTTGTTTGTTTAAATTTTCCCTCTACCCCCATGCCTGAGCCCAAAATATTGATATTAACCAACTAATCAACTTTGAGCAGCCTTAGTAAGACCAATCTATTAGTGATGCCAGTTTAATCTTGGTCTCAAAAATAATTCCAACCTCTAACTATCTTATTAGCTAGCAGAAAGAATTAGATTATATAATATTGGTAATTGAAATAACTTTCTTAAAACATTAACAACAGGAAATTTCAAAATTAAAATCAGAAAATTCTTGTTTTATTTTTTCGATTTATAATTTAACATAATAAAATGCTACTTAAAAAATTCTATTTAGTTTTAAAATATACCACTTGTGATAATTAGTATGCTCTTTACTAATATAATTGGTATGAAGAATCAATAAAGCCTGTAATAGGCTATTCGAAAAGTGCAAGAATCTAATATATATATGAAATAATCAAATATATTGTATATGCTATCTTTTTAAAACCTAAATTTATTGATAAGATTAATGAAAATATCTTCAATTTCTTTCTTAAATATGGAGATTAGATTATTTGAACTCTATGCAGTATAAATTGTTCACGAACACCAATTACCACTACCAGATATATATAGATAATTCAAACTATAATTAATTTCTTTACTAGAAAAAATCATTTTCTGTACCCATACCAAAACTATATTTATTATAATCATTAATCACGTTATTTGAAAAGTATGATTTATAAGAACTCTCTATTCTTGAATCAAAATCACTACAACTTTTACTCTTTTTGCTATTGTTTAAGTTATACTCTATAGAAAAATAGAAGAATATAAAATGTTGATATTATATGAAATACTTACTATTTACCACTGTAAATAGTATCTATGTTTTATTTAAGAACTTCATTTTTTAAATCAAATAATACTCATGGGTACTGTGAGTGATATATTATCTAAAAATAATAAATTAACATAGTTATACCCCAAGATATTATTCAAGAATTAATCCAGATAAGCAGTGAGTTTTTATCAAGGATTTATTTTTGAGATATACTATATACAGTAGTATATGGTACAAATCACAGCTGAATTATAGTATAGGTTACCCCTTTTTATCAGCATTATACCAATTTTTGTTGGAATTATATTAATTTTTAGCTGAAATTATTATAGGGGGACCTACTCACGTATATATATAATACTATTATATACTCTTTTTTATACAATTTTTAGGGTATATACCCATTTTTTAGGGTATATACCCTATTTTTGGGTATATACACCATTTTT